CTCTCTCTTTCATCTCTCTCTCTTTCTGCTGTCTCTCTTTCTCCTCTCTCTGTTTCTGCTCTCTTTCTTCCTCCTCTTTCCTCTTCTTCTCTTGCTCCTCCTCTTTCCTCTTCTTCTCTTGCTCCTCCTCTCTCTCCTTCTTTTCTCTCTCATTCTCTTCCATCCTTTTCTTTTGTCTCTCTTTCTCCTCTCTTTCCTCTCTTTCTTTCTCCTCTCTCTCTTTCATCTCTCTCTCTTTCTGCTGTCTCTCTTTCTCCTCTCTCTGTTTCTGCTCTCTTTCTTCCTCCTCTTTCCTCTTCTTCTCTTGCTCCTCCTCTTTCCTCTTCTTCTCTTGCTCCTCCTCTCTCTCCTTCTTTTCTCTCTCATTCTCTTCCCTCCTTTTCTTTTGTCTCTCTTTCTCCTCCCTTTCCTCTCTTTCTTTCTCCTCTCTCTTTCTTTTCTCTCTTTCCTGTCTTTCTTTTCTCTCTTTTTCCTTTGCTTCTTTTTGCTTCCTCTCATTCTCCTCTCTCTCTCTCACTTCTCTCTCTTTCTCCTCTCTATCTTTATCCTGCCTTTCTTTCAACTCTTCATCTGTTTGATTCAAAAATGCAACAACATCTTCAGAAACTAGTTCTTCATCTCTCTCTATGTCTTTCTCTTTCTGCTTCTCTGTGACTTTCACTTTTTCTTTTTCAAGTGCCTGTCTCTCTTTCTTCTGCTTCTGTTTCTCAGCCATAAAGATAGAGAAAGGTTGGTTCTCTATGATCTCTGGCTCAACATCATGATCAGTTGCAAACTGCCTTGAAACATTTAAAATGTCCTCCCAACATCTGTCACTTTCTTGGGACTGGGAGGACAACCCCAATCCCAATGAAAAACTGGGAACATCATCACCTTGTGACTTCTTCTTGTATGCAGCTCTCTTCCCAATAGCATGCTCAATCTTCTCAATAGCTGCAATTGTTTCTGGATCATTCCAGAAAGCAGCTGTTTCTTCACTATCCTCAAAAGAACCTGTCTTCTGAGAAGATTGAGGTACATCGGGACTAACAGAAATAAGATTTTCCGTTGCTTGTTGTATCTTCTTGTAATTCAAATCATCAGTCACTTCATGGGGGGCATCTTCAAGCAAGTTTATCACATCAACAACATCAGTGGCCAAGCACATAACCTTGCTTAGAAGCTTGGATTTATAACCCTGTTTATACATAAAATTAAACAGAGTGAACAATTATAAGAAAATATGGAGGAAAATTAAACAACTAACCTAGCAACAATAAACAACTAACCCAGCAGCAAAAGACAACTAACCTAGCAACAAGAAAGAACTAACCTAGCAACATCCGACAACTAACCAAGCAACAATAAACAACTAAACTAGCAACAAAAAACATTTAACATAGCAGCTAGAGATAACTAACCTAGCAACAAGAAAGAACTAACCTAGCAACATCCAACAGCTAACCAAGCAACAATAAACAACTAAACTAGCAACAAAAAACATTTAACCTAGCAGCTAGAGATAACTAACCTAGCAACAAGAAAGAAGTAACCTAGCAACATCAGACAACTAACCTAGCAACAATATACAACTAACCTAGCAGCAGAGGACAACTAACCTAGCACCTACAGACAACTAACCTAGCAATAATAAACAACTAAACTAGCACCTAAAGATATACCTAAAATAATTGCAATACAGACAAATAAAAAAAAATACCAACCTGAACACAATCATCGGACACTTCCTTTTGTTTTGATTTTATTGACAGTAATGGCTCCAAACGTTTATCAACATAACCTCGGCCAAAACCACCAATTTTGGCCTCAGCATTGGATCTCTTGCGCAACAGGTCGCAGTTCCAACCAATAAAGGAGGGCAGACTCCTTGGAACTTCACGATTTACGAAAGCAAGCCGATCAACGTATAAAACCTGCATTTTGGGAGAAAAAAAAATTATATATATATATAAGAAAATGGAATACAAATTGTTTAAGAATAATATAAAAATACATTCTTACAACGAGAAAAAGAAGAGGCCCATTAAAAGCAGTCTTGTTGGTCTTCTCCCATTTCATTCTTTTTGAAATCAGACTTTGAAGAGTGTACTCACACCAATTCAAGTCAGATACATTTGTTATGTCATTAATGGACTTGAAGAATAGTGGGTTGACATAACCAGCAGATATTGATCCAATAATCAGAGCATCCACCAAAGCAGCAAAATGACAACAGAACATTTCACCACCATCATGACACTCCAACATTTCCTTGCTGACATTTTCAGCAGTGATTTTGTCAGCAGATTGTGTAAACTTACTCCTCCACTTATCCAACAGCTCACAAGACTCAGATTTCCTCTTCAATTCAATAGTCTTATCTCCTTTAGGAAATCCTAATACCTTCTCCACATCAACAGATTCAATGTGGATTTTTCCCTCACTGCAACGCAATACAGAGCTAATTGCGTCAAAATTATCCAACACCCAGAATGATAAGTTGGTTGGAATCTCTTTAATCTTAAGAAGCAGCAAATTTCCAAAACCCATTTTCTGTACAGCTCTTTTCTGATGATCATTTAATTTGGCAATGGACTCAACCAACACTTTTGGAGAAGACCGTGTTGAGAGCCTTGGGAAATGAATTTTAGCATCAGGCTGCCGTTGACGAGCTTCACGTACAGGCTTGTGAGATGAATCAGTCAGCAAAAGAATATCATCATCCCTCTGAGACTCCATTTGTTCAAATTAAACTGAGTTACAAAAAAACAAAAAAAACAAAAAATGTCAAATAGATATTACAAACCTTGCATCACACAGAAAAGTAACCTAGCAGCATCAAGAAACTAACATAGCAGCAGAAGACAACTAAACTATTAACATCAGACAACTAACATAGCAGCTACAGGTAAATAACATAGCAACATCAGAAAACTAACATAGCAGCAGAAAGAAACTAACCTAGCAACATCAGACAACTAACATAGCAGCAAAAGACAACTAACATAGCAGCAAAAGACAACTAACATAGCAGCAAAAGACAACTAACATAGCAACATCAGACAACTAACATAGCAACATCAGACAACTAACATAGCAGCAGAAGAAAACTAACCTAGCAACATAAGACAACTAACCTAGCAACATCAGACAACTAACATAGCAGCTACAGGTAACTAACATAGCAACATCAGAAAACTAACATAGCAGTAGAAAGAAACTAACCTAGCAGCAAAAGACAACTAACATAGCAACATCAGACAACTAACATAGCAGCAGAAGAAAACTAATCTAGCAACATCAGACAACTAACCTAGCAGCAGAAGACAACTGACATAGCAGTAGAAGACAACTAACCTAGCAACATCAAACAACTAACATAGCAGCTACAGGTAACTAACATAGCAACAACGGAAAACTAACATAGCAGCAGAAAGAAACTAACGTAGCAGCAAAAGACAACTAACATAGCAGCAAAAGGCAACTAACATAGCAACATCAGACAACTAACATAGCAGCAGCAGAAAACTAACCTAGCAACATCAGACAACTAACCTAGCAGCAGAAGACAACTGACATAGCAGTAGAAGACAACTAACCTAGCAACAGCAGACAACTAACATAGCTGCATAAGACAACTAACCTAGCAACATCAGAAGACTAACATAGCAACATCAGACAACTAACCTAGCAACATCAGGCAACTAACATAGCAGCTACAGGTAAATAACATAGCAACATCAGGAAACTAACATAGCAGCAGAAAGAAACTAACCTAGCAGCAGAAGACAACTAACATAGCAGCAGAAGAGAACTAACCTAGCAACATTAGACAACTAACCTAGCAAAATCAGACAACTAACCTAAAATAGCAGCTACAGATAACTAACTTAGCAACATCAGAAATCTAAAAATAGCAGCAGAAGAAAACTAACCTAGCAACATCAGACAACTAACCTAGCAGCATCACACAACTAACCGAGCAAACATCAGACAACTAACATAGCAGCAGAGGACAACTAACCTAGCAACATCAGACAATTAACATAGCAGCATCAGACAACTAACCTAGCAGCAACAGACAACTAACCTAGATGCAAAAAGACAACTAAGCTAGCAAACATCAGACAACCAACATATCAGCTACAGGTAACTAACGTAGCACCATCAGACAACTAACCTAGCAGCAAATATAAATAACCTAGCAACATCATACACTAACCTTGCAGTATCAGACAGCTAACTTAGCAAAAAATAAACAAAACATATTACTTTAATCTATTAAATGAAAGAATGAAAAACCTAAATCGAAAAAGTTATTACAAACAAAAACAACAGCAAAAATACTCACCAATTTAAGACGAGAATCAGCGAATCACAGAGAATCTGCGAGAATAGACTACGAAGGATAAAACGGAAACAGATAGTAACGCCCGAGAAATCGAAATCGAAATCGAAAATGGAAGAGAATGGAACAGAAACAACGAGCAAGTGCGAAAATGGAGAGGGAAAGTAGAGTAGAGAGTTCTGAAGACGTACCGCCCGCGAAATCAGAAATATTGATTAATGTACTAAATTAATTCTGAACGTTAGATTAGATGAGTGATGAACGGACCAGATCAGGTCTCACGTCCTCACTTTTAAAAACGGGGCGCATCTGAACCATTCCCTATATATATATATATTTATCAACATTAATCATTACTCTTTTATCTTATACTCATTTTTATCTCAAATCTATCTAACTTTTTCATTAAAAAATATACTTTTCAATTTTTTCTCTATTGTCAGGCAAAACATAATTTTTTGAAAAGAAAAGTCCACTGAATTGTGTTTAAAAAAAATATATATTATTCAATATTTCATCACTATTTTCAGGCAAAACAAAATGTTTAGAAGAAAAAATAATGTCCGTTCCATTGTGTTTAGAATGACCTTAGGGCAAATCAACTAAAATTATGTAGCATGATCCTATTAACATAACCAACACACAATTGATATCAGATAAAAACTGAAAGCACTAGAAATCAAACCCAAAAGAAGTATTCTTGTTTGAGCATGTCTTAACATATGTACAGTGCAACACAAACAAATTTGAAAACAAACTATTCAGGAATATACAATCTTTGCAACCATCATCCCATAATTTAATTTGATTATTAAAAAAATATAAATTTGTACAATATCTATATTCAGAAGCATATTTTCATGAATATCCTACAATGCCAATGGCAATGCTGTAGAGACACAATACAACAACAAAATTTCTACAATCCAAGATGGCCTTTTTCTTTTTGTGATTTCAAATGATAAATATTTTGCAGCATTATTGTTTAGTAGTGGAAGTCTCTGCATTAAAGTGACTGCTGCTGAATCCAACCTCCTCATCCCCAACCTCACCAGTATTCATACCCATTTTATCACCCCTGTAAGTAATTTGTATCAATTCGAAATCTAATATTAACAAAAAAATAAAAGAAACTCTTGAAAAATAATATTTATTTCATGAGACCTCAAGAAAGGCAAAACAAAGATGCCCATTTTCTGGACAATGACATGCAAATATATTTTTTCATTTAAAAAGAAAAAAAAAAGAGCAAAAACTGAAGCTGAAGAAAACCCAATGAACCTAATTTTATTTCAATTGCATGCTTCCAAAGACGAAGCCACCTTCATGCAACAAGTTTCCAAATAAGAGAAATGTGAGAAATGCCATGATATACTGAATTATTGATGTAATTATATTTGTGATGATATTTTAGTGCGAACATGTCATTGGTACTAACTGATAACTTCATTCACATTTTTTCTTTCATAAAAAAAAAGTTATGCTACCTATCAAGCTTTGTTGGCACACAAACAGCAGATGGATGCAATTCTTATAACTAGAGCTAAATGGTTTCCAAAATGTGCAAAGAGAAGAAAAAAACTGAGTGCTGAAATTATGCATACCCTGAATAAACAACAAGACCAACTACAACGGCAGCAAAAGCTACAAAGTACATCCAGTCAACCTGAAGCAAAAAAAAAAATAAATAAAAATAAAAAAAATAAATAAAATAAAATAAAAAAACTTCAAATTAGATATTTCTAGAGTAAAAAAAACAAAATTTAAACACCTTATTATCCTATTTTTCCCAAATAACATGTTTTTCCAGACCTTTTCATGGTAAGCAAATATCCGAATCAAAACCGCCCACATATCTGAGGTGAGCAATGACAGATTTAGCATTGTGGAACCACTAATCTGCAACACAGGCAGCCATAAAGGTTGATAAAAACACTAACAAGGGTTAAGTATGATCTTGGGCGATGAAAAGACTATATATTTTTTATAGTATCTATTCTATAGTAGTTTATCTAAATAGCGTGCAATAATGGTAAATAACAAAATAAAGCAGCATATAGAAAGAAGGGTAAAGCGCATGGTTAGAGAGAGTTTAGAAAATATGTGTAAAAAAAGAGATATTGAGTAACAGTCTGAAGTATATAAATTCTTGAACTGAAATATGGATTTTCAAACTTGTGCAATCACATGAATTAAGATAAAATGACACAGTACCTTTAATAAGATGGGAACTCCAGAGTAAAACAGAAACATAGCAACAGAAAATCCAACAAAAGGAAGTGCCTGTTGCACAAGAGAGCAGGATATCATTTCCAGTTTACAAATCAAATTTTTATCTTGCTCAAGCACTATCATAATTAGTAACTAATTTCAGGCCTTACTATAAAATTAAAGAGAAAAAGAAGTGAAAAGAATAGGGGGTTTGTTTGTGTTTGTGAAGGAGGGAGAGAGAGAAGTACCGCTCCAGCTGTCCAGTGAATAGACTTGAGTTCACCACGTTCAAGTATGACTCTGTGCACAATTAAAGTAGACATTGATCACAACAATTGTATGTGCTGTTACATGATGATGTTTTCAAATAAGGATGAAAAAACCACACAATGAACAAATTTAAATCTAGAAAAAAAAAAAAAAAAAGATGTATTACATTTGGCAAGCACTGATGATGCCACCAAATACGCCCAAGAAAGCCATAAGCTCGACCCTATCTGCACTTTTGACAAAATATTCCTGCATAGAAAGTACGATAAAAACACTAAATGTTCACCTCAAGGATTTCATGCTAATAGAAACATATTAAGAAACATATATCGACAATAGACGGGTCCACAAGAGATGTCAGCATATCCATGTTTTCTATTCTGGTAGGTCATATTTAAGGTTGAACGTAATTTCCTAATTTTAACTTAAGACATTTCAAGAACTAGTAAAGTGCACGTGCGATGCACGTGGCGACGAATGCTTTTTACCATTAAATTTAGTAAGATAAATTAATTAATTTATTACACATATGACTGCAAGAACAAAATAAAATGTAGAATAAATTAACTTTTCATGCATTTTATTTTAAATATAAAAATGTTGTCGTAATATAAAAGATTTAAATATCATATTACAACTCCAACAAAAATATATAAAAAATGAGTTCCTAATGAAAAAACAATAAATGATTAAATAAAGACATAATGTATATTATAGATGCATGAGTTCTTTTATTTATTTATGTTAGATTCAAGAGTCGTTTTCTTTTATTTTGGTTTTGATGTTCTCATAAGAAACATTCATACTCGTTGAATTCTAATACATCAATAGTATTACAAAATTCTTCTTAATTAATTTTGCAAAACGTTTGTTTTATTCAACACTTAGAAATACTTTAGCCAAATATATAGTCAAACTTTATGATTGTATGATCATTATAAGGTATTTCTACTAATAGTTCATAAGTATCTCTGTGAAATAAATAATTGTATCATTAAATTTCTTGATATTTGTGTCATTAAAATTCTTGATATTTCTTTTAATCAATGTATAAGCTACTACATTTTTCTCTCTCTCTCTCTCCCTCTCTCTCTCTCTCCACATAGACAAATTAGTACTTACCCCTTGAGGTGGGAACAAATTTCATCTCTAAATAAAATTTGATTTTCCAAAATCATGTACTTCTATGAAGATGCTAAATTATTTTTTTGAAATCATCACACATTACATGAAAATATGTACTCTAAAACAAATGCGCGTATGATCGAGCACAATACACAATTATGATTGTAAATTCTTATCAAAAAGTGACAACTTATTCAACATTCAAAAATATTTTAATCAGTATTAAACATTCCCTTTTCAGTGTTATTAATTTGGAAGATAGATACCTTCCATATTCTTTCAGATTTGCAATATTTATGTGTCTAATAACATTTATTGCGTTTATTGTCCAATGTTATCATAACTAATTCTTAAAAAATTCAAGATAAAGATCCTTCATTGATTCTTCAATAATAACAAAACAAAACAAAACAAAACAATGAGACAATATTTAGAAGTAAAATATTTCAGATGAGAAGAATTTGAATTATACTATATTATGATACTCTTAGTCATTTGTTAACTTTATTATTATGAAGTCATTATTAAAGTTTATGGTCTATTTTATGATAATATCGAATCATTATTTATGAGAACTAATTTCTTATAGAGAATATATACTTAAATGCTAGCAACAAAAAAAGTAGTAATTTTAAAAGATTTTTGTTTCTTGATATTAGTATTCATACTTTTCTAAAAAAATTTAGAATTTTTCTTTTCCTCATTGCATTACTATTGGTTTACTTGTTTTTTATTTGTTTTATTTTATTCACAAAAAAAATTTTATTTCTTGAAAGAATTAGAGAATATTATATGCAATGCATTCTTTTTACGTGTTTGATAGTAATAATATACTTGATAAAAATGTAGTTTTATATTGTTTATAATATTAAAAGGTTTTGAATTTATTTCCATGTTCTGATAAAATATTAAGTAACTAATTCATGTTTATATTCACAAAAAATATTTTTTACAACCATTATGGTGTTCCCTTTCAAGCAATAATTGAATAATAGTTTAACATACAACTGATTTATTTTTTTGTTTTAATTCACATATTTAATATTGGTATAGTTGTACAATTACATCTAATTGACTTTTTCCTTAGTATGAATATTTCAAATCTATGTCAGAAAATTATACCACAAGTTTATCTAATATTATTTTATAATTAATAAAATTAATTTAACATGGATCTATAATTATTTTATAAGATTCTTTTAGGTCTATTTATTATTTTAAATTGGTATTGGTATATATATATTATTTTACATCGATATAAATAATTATATTATTTTTATTTTATTTACAAAACATTGGTAAAATCAAATATCATGGGAAAGAAATGATTTGATATATTACATATAAAAGGGTAACCAAAAAAAATAAATAAAAATAAGTATTTCAAAATTAAGAAATTTAATGGTGTAAATTAACTAATTTTTTAACTAAAAAATTATGACTAACATACCGATTTCTAAGACAAAAAAATAAATATATTTTTTATAAATGTGCATCTCAAGTATATTTTACATTTATCATTCGCTAGCTCCAATTGATATATGACATTTATTAATTTTATCATTTTTTTTTTATTTTTGAGTGGAATGTCAGTTATAAGCTTTCTCATTGTGTAGTTTTACCTTTTTATTACGTAGAACATCATCTTTACATCTTGTTTAGTATTAATATTACCTTTTCAGTAGAACATCATTCTGGCCTCTTCTTTGATTATTATAATACTAATAAAATATTTAAGGACTTTTCAACTTATATGTATTTTTTAATTACTAATTATCATAAATTAAATGATAATTACATTAAATATGTTATATTTTGTATCATTATTTACAATTTTCAAAACAATTAACTGCACACAATATTATATATAGTGCGAATTTTTTAGTTTGATTTGGAGTCATACTTTTATTACAAGAAAATGATGAAATTCCAATGAAAACATATTACAGCGAAATTTCGAGAACAATTCTAACGAATATTTCAACGTTACAATTTTCGTTTGAATTTTTCAATGAAAATTATAACAAAAATATTTTGTTGCAATCATGTGCAGATCCATGTTTGTCCAATAGTCCCGAAACTGGCATCATCCCAAAACAAATAGCATAAGATATCTAACAAACATTATGAGAATATTTTTCATAATTTTAATCATGTCCTCTATTTAGAAAATAAAATTAAAAGAATAAAGACAAATAATGATTAATTTACAACTCAACCAATTATAATTTAATTCAACTCATAACATTATTAAAATTATAACATCAATGCGGTATCCCAACTAAAGAAAATATGATATCAAATTTTACAATTTTACGCTCTATTTCTCTCTGTTCTTTTTATTCTTGATGATATCTTATTATCTCTCTTTTGCGACCTAATTTTTATCTAATTTTAGAAAATATATTTTAAGTCTTTTTTAAGTGTATGTAGAATTCTAGTTATATATTCGTAATTTATACAATCATCTATTATATTGTCGAGTCAACTATACTACAACATAAAATTTTTGTTCATAAAAAGATTTTGAAAAATGTATTATTTTTTTATGATTTTCTTATGTCGAATTGAGAAAAACTATGCTTTTTTTTTTAATTATTGAATTTATTGTGATTGTATTGATGTGTTAAAAAAAGTATTACATATGAGAAAGTTGACAAATTAAGAAAAGTATACTTTATAAATTGTAATGACATTATGTTGTTTTGATGCAATACTTTTTGTATACTTTATAAATTGTAATGACAAATAGTTGAGAATATTTAGATCTTTTATAAGTATTTATTATGTTGTTTTTGTTGCATAATTTTTTATTTAAATAAATTTTATATATTAAAATCATTATATATGATTACGATTTTATCATCAAAATTATATTAAAAATAAGGACGTTATTCAAAAAAGAAATTCAATATCATTTCAAAACTTTGTTGTTTGGGTTAATGTTGAGTTGATTTTTTAGAGATATTGAAGAAAACGGTTTGGGAGATATGTACTGGAAGAAACTAAATTCTTGAAGAATAATGGTGTGAATATTGTGGTTGATTTTTAAGAGATGTGGAATGTTTTGTTTATTTAATTGTATTAAATGAATAAAATATTAAATGAGAATTAGTGTATTACTAATTTGAGGTTAAAAATATGTCAAATAAAGAGAATTTAGGTACATATTAGTTATTAATAAAAAAAAATAAGATGGGATATATATTATGTTATTACTAATTTGCCATTAAAAATATACCAAAGTAAGAGTATATTAGTTAGTTCTTTCTTTTACAAAAACACTCGTCCTTTTATAGTAGTATTTTGAGTTATCATTTTAGTTAGCACAACATTTAGACATAGAATATAATAAAACATTTGGACTAAATATTACATAAGATTATTTTGTAGATATTGTTTACAAGAACCAATAGCTACTTAGCTAAGAGAATCATAACGATTTCTTCAAAGACCAACTCAATCTCCATCATTTTTAGTAAAATTTAGAATTATTTGAGTCATACTTTGGGCGTGTATTGTAATAGTTTTTAATGTTACGCCGTTATTTATTTAATTAAATATTAGTGATTACCAAAAAAATAAGATTTGAAGAGTATTAGTGTATTACTAATTTGCCATTAAAATTAAGTCAAAGTAAGGGTTTTTTAGGTAGTTCATTTGTTAATTAATAATATAAAATAAGATGGATATTACTGTATTACTAATTTGCCATTAAAAATATGTCAAAGTAAGGATTTTTTAGGCAGATCAGTATTTTTACAAAATCACTCGTCCTTTTATAATAGTATAGATAAGCGATTAAGTAGGATAAAATGGCTTCTTCGGTAATAAAGCTGAGCTAATTTTGAGTTCTTTGAGAAAAAATTAAAAGTCTGCTTAGATTTGATTTATATTAGGCAAAGTTGGAGGAGTTACAAAGGTCCCAAGTGGAAAGAATATTCAAAAATTTCTGGAAAGGTGAGAATTAGTTGACCAATGAATGCAATTGATGATGAATATATAGTATCATCAGTTTGATTTAGTACCAAATATTAAAAAAGAAAAAAATTAGGGTAAAAAATGTGCTTGCCTCTCATCCCATCATTCAAAAAACGAGTAAGAATACAAGACTAGAATGACTTTGAAGTATTTATCTAATGATTACATTGCACGACATTGAAAACAAATGTGAAATACTATCAATCTAAAGTCCACTTACCTCACTGACATTACTCACACCATAAAGTGTGGCTCCAGCAATAACAAGCAGATCACCCTTAATCGGGTTGCTGCCACCTAATGAACAACAGTTATTAACATGAAAAAGTAGAAAAGAGGCAAATAAAGATATAATAACCAATAAACAGATACAAGATCTGGAAGAGAGTAAGCAGCCTTGTCTGCTAAAGGACAATAAGAATGGATATTATACTATTCTAACCCACATCTTATTCACACACACACACACACACACCAAGAAAGAAGAAAAAGAAAAATGTAAAAGTGAGAGGAAGGCTAAAGGGTGCAAGAGAAGAAGATAAGGGACAAATTCATTTGTTCAGTAGTCTAGACAAGCTTCTTTGAAAATAGAAATAAGATAGTAAGGCAGACTGGAGGAGGATGATGACAAATGATATTAATAATTAAACTTTGTATTTAATCTACTTCAGAACAATAAGAACACGTACTTGATCTATCTGCAGAATGCACATCAGAGAAGACAACAGTGACAAGACCAGCAACACATATTGCTACACCTATCAACTTCATGAATCTGTACTTCGTCTTCAGAAAGAACCACGTGAGAAATAGGACACATGGTATTGTCCAACAGTCCAGCAGCATCACACTTGTAATTGAAGTATACTGGTAAGCCTTCACCACTGTCATGTCAAAACATGGTTAACAGCCTTTGCTTTTGAAGAAATATTAATTTTCTGGTTCACAACCTTAACAAGCATTTCCACATAGCGATCACTTGAGATTTTCAGCAGAATAATAATGCAAGCAACATAACATTGCATGTTCAAGCATATGAGCTTCAATAATGGCTCAAGCAAAAAAAGTTAAGAAGTCTAAACAGATCATATAATGCAAAGAAAGAGTTTTTTTTACATTAAGTTAAGTCCTGTTACCATGCCTTATTCAACGATTTCTATCGTTTGACATAAAAATTCCAGAAAATTAGTTTTTCATGAAGCAGGCAGGCAAACACTACATAGAAAGAAAGAAAAAAGCATAAGCACTATCAGTTGCAATAGAAAGTTATCACTGGATCACCTGAAGGACAACTTGACCAATTAAGATGTAACTTTTTACCTCCCACAAACCCATCAACATCTAAAGGTAATTTCTTTAACTCGCAAAATGTCAAGTCACTACTAATTTTTATGTGAAAGTACGACATAGATATAATGATTTTCAGTTTTCACCCATGAGGACTTAGAAGCTTTATCAAGCTTTAGGAAAGTAAAAATGGGGACTTTCATTTTCCGTTACGTAGAAGATCATGAACCTTCTAGACACTCAACTAGAAAAGTGGTGTGACGATCATGCCAAGTACTTGTCAATTGATCACAAGTTAGAGGTATATAGAAGAGATTCTAACACCGTAAACAATGTACAAGATATTCTTGGTATCAGTTGAACCCTACGAATGATAGATAGTGTGATAGATTCCGGCAACGGCGGATACAGAAATTTTTATGAGTCATGGCAAAAATAGTTCGAATTAATTTTTAACCATATTGCACAAAGTACTTGTATTAACAATTAAATAAATCGTTGGAACAATCCGGTGTTGAGGAGTTCCCTATTCATTTTGCCTTTGACTTGATGCTAAAAAATGAAATTGAGAATGAGGTCTGGTTATTTTATTTTGTGTTTTTATTATTATAAAGAAATATAACAAAAATATTTTACAATCCTTTTTCTTCATTTTCTGTAATAAGAAATAAGCAAATGTTAATAAGAAATAAACAAGTCATTTTGAAATGTAATTTATTAATTTAAGAAAAGCCTAAATGTCATCATTTTTGTTCTTGTTATTTTATAAAGATTTCCTTATAGGTTATCTTCTTATATATAAATATAACAACAACAATATAGCCTTTTAGTCCCAAGCAAATTGGGGTAGGTTAGAGATGAAACCCAAGAGAACCAATGGTAAAAGAAACACAAAAAGAGCTCAAAACAAAAGGAAGAGATTGGAGCAAAAGAGAAAGGAGCAAAAGTCACGGTTCTGACACGTTGATTGCTAGCATCCAAGCGCTTCTATCCACCGCTAAATCCTTGGAGATATTCCAATATTTAAGGTCTCTCTTAACCGACTCTTTCCAAGTGCTTTTAGGCCGACCTCTACCTCTCTTTACATCATCGACCCGCTGTAGAACTCCCCTACGTACCGGTGCATCAGGAGGCCTCCGTTGGACATGTCCGAACCACCTCAACTGTTGTTGAACCAATTTCTCCTCAATTAGAGCCACCCCGACCCTATCTCGAATATCCTCATTCCGGATTCTATCCTGTGTGTCCGCAGAACCAACGCAACATACGCATCTCTGCTACACTTAGTTGTTGGACATGTTACCTTTTTGTAGGCCAACATTCAACACCATATATATAAATATAGAGTTTTTCATTGTCAATTTCCAACACTTTTTAATTCTATATGTTATTTTCTAAGGATTCGAAATTGTCCTTATATGGATCTTTATCCAGAACTTTGAAGTTTAAACGCTTGAGTAACTTAAATTGTAAATATATTTTAAAAGTTAATAATGTTTGTATATATTATTATTTTTATATATGATAACTTAAAGTAGTGATATTTTGACAATGTATAATTTGACATTCATATTGTATATATGAATTAAAATAATATCTATCTGAGCTCTATCAATAAAAATTTAAATATTTATCAATCTATATATATATATAATAAGAATTACTATTTACTATAAATAGTAACTATAAATTTTAGGACAATATTAATTGTTTACTATTTTTAGATTTTTTTCTTTTTTTCTTTTTTTTTACATAAAAATGAATCATCATTTATGAATTAGAATGCCTACAAATTAGGAATCTACTTTGAAATACAAATTGAAAGCGGATATATCCTAAAATAAAGGAATTTGTTTATTCCACCATCATACAATCCCATATATCAATACCATTAAATTCGGACTTTTTTTCTTTTTTCTTTTTTGTACATAAAACTGAATAAGCCGAATCAGCCTTTATGACTTAGGCAGCCTACAAATTTGGGAATGTTTGAAATACAAATTGGAATTTGATATCTTCTAAAATAAAGGAATTTGTTGATTCCTCATAATACAATCCATATCAAAATATGGATTTTACATATTTTACACGCACATGCAGACTGCTAGGATAAATAAAAGCATTTTATCATTATTTACTTAATTACTTATCTTTTTTTAATGTTTTCTAATTTAGTCATTGTTTAACGTTAATCTAGACTATCACTACCACTATATACGTAGCAACATTAATACATAACATTCCATTCATATATAAAAGAAAATAAACAACAAATAAAACTATTCACATCCATCTATTCATCCATCGACAAAAAAAATAAAAGACAACAAATTGATTCGATTTTACTTATAAAACAATAATCTATATCTATATACATATATATATATCTATAATAAGAATTACCATTTATAAAAAATAGTAGCAAAAAAATAAGTCAGAATTTAATGCAACCTATAAATAGTAAGTTTTATTATTTTTCTTTAAAAATCATACATCATTAAATGTTACCTTAAATTTCGGAATTTAATTCATTTTATTATTTAAAAAATTCGGCTAAAATTTATTAAGTGTGTATGTTTTTATTTTTATTTTTTTCTTAGAAACAACGAACAACATTAAAATCTCGGTCTCTCTATTTATAAAATCTCAATTCAAAATATAACAAAAGTTTTAGAATCTCGGTCTTTATATTTGTGCCTTTTAAAAATATATTCTTTAAAAAAATATTGAACGCTAAAAATATTCTTTAAATTGCATAATCAATCAATTAAACTTAAATTTTTTAAAATTACTATGTTTATTTTTTATTAATATGCATAAAGTACAAATAATTAATTCGAGCATGTTTGTTTATAAAATTTTTTTGTTTTGTTTGGATTTTTTGGTTTGATTTAGTTAATTTTGAAAAAGGTGGTATTGTTAGGTGTTAGTGGGTATATTAAAATAATATTTAAAATAAAATAATTAAAATTAATTTGATGTAAAAGTAGGAGGATGATGATTTGAAGTGATAGTTAGTTAAAATAATGTGAGTGGATGAATAGTGAATTAAGGTTGATGTGGTGTGTATGAATGATTGATTGATATTATTTAATTATATTGATAATATTGATGATAGTGGAGTTGAGTTAAAGTTGAGTTAAAAAAAGTGGTTGAGTTAAAATGTTGGAATTTTTTTGAAAATTTTGTAAACAAACATGCTCTTCATCTTTAGGTATATAATTTATAATCTTAATATACCATCATTTGGTGTAGACATTTATTATATGAATCATAAAATATTTTTATTTCATAAAATTAGATATATTTAAAGAAAATAAGAAAATTTCTTCAGATCAATCGCGTGATTGAATTAGGGTACTGCCCAGGTTAATTGAATTACTTTTAGGTGATATTTAAAATAGTCAAAAAAATTGACACAACTTGGTTGGTCCCAGGTGACTAAACTATGTATCAGTTCGACCACACAAAATCGATTATTGAACCTAAATATAAATTTTATATTGAAAATATTTTATTACGTGAATGTGATGTAGTCCAAACTTCTAATAGTCGTATTAACAATACTTTTATGACAACATGTTTAATGATTTATGAATATTTATATATCATTTTCTTAATATTTATGTGAATTAAATAATATTTTATTATAATATTTATTAATGTACAGTAAATATAAGATTTTCAGAACTGGACCGTCATCGAAACGATCAAGCTATTTTATTAAATCATTTGTGGTTTCTTCATATTTTAATTTCTAAACATTTTATTATATATGTATATATATAGTACTTTTTGTAATAAATTTAAATAAAATGTGTTACTTAGATGTCTAAACAATTTATAAATTCAAATGTTTAAACTAATTGATAAATAATTTATAAATCTCTATTTTATTTAAATATGTAATTTTATTTAAAATAATTTAAAATATAACAAAATTTATTTAGAAAATCGTATCGATCCTACCAGTTCAACCGACTGGTGATGACGGATTTGAGAGCAAATATTTTATTCAAGTGAACTAAACTGGTTCTCGGTCCATCCGGTAAGATTGTATCCAACCCGGTTTAATTTAAAAATAATGGATAAATCATGATTAATGTTATTTATATATTTAATTTATAATACAATCGTAATATTATTTTCCCGTGCATCGCACGGACCACGTACTAGTTTTAATTGAAAAACAATAAATTTATCTATCAAACTTATTAAAAGGTATAAGTACTAAAAACGTTATAATATAATATCGTTGAATCTGACTCGTGAGGTTTATCATTTTAAGTAAAAACAATAGTGTTATTTTGTAAGAATATTTAAATTTTAAAATAAAAACTTGTATTTATATTTTTACACATATAAAATATAAAATTTTATCAACACATATTAACTATGTATAGTTAGCACAAAAAATTGAGCCTAGCAATTGCCGCTCACCCACAAGTAGATCCGCCCATGGATTCCGGATTGCTACATGGCGTGTCTTTGAACACACCTTGAGTGAATAGAAGACAATGCATGGTTAGTAACTTACCAAGAAAGTTGGCTTCCACATCAACCAATCCAAGCAAAATGTAGTAATACCATTTAGCCTGTTTATACAGTAAGGAGATTGAAAAAACATGTTAGATTCTGATGGTTTCATTCAGGATTAAAGCATTCAATCCCACTATTTCATTCTAGCAGTAAAATACAAAAATATAGGGCCCAATGGCAAATAAATACACAAATGTGGATGTTCTGCTTGTAAATATATTGTTCCGTGTTTTCACAACCTAAGTTCCACACAGCATTTCATTCAGCATTTTAAATGAGTAAAAGAACAGAACTTTTGAGCTTTTTGTTCTTAGAGCCAATGGATGCTTAAACTCGTCCTGATTAGATATAGTTTTCCATATATTAATGGATCATAGAAATTACGATAGTACACTTAAATAAAATTCTCAACTCTCCAGAGGAAATACTAATGCATTTTCCCCTTAGAAGCTGATAATTTCTCTTAATGTTTGATCTTGGCGTCAATTTCAAAAGAACTAAGTAATTGAAAAAGACTATCAACTCCTGAACACTAAATATTCTTATATCATGTGGTTCAAGAAGAAATAACAGAATGTTCAAACAAATCAAATGAGTGCTCGGAACTGAAGTTGAATAAACAAAACCTTTCACCTAATTGAACGACTTTAAGGTCAATAAGGACTGACCTTGAGAGGCTTCCATCTATAGAGCATAATGCTACCGTATATTAACGCCAAGAATACATAATTCAAGAATGACTGCGAAGTTGGTGCATTTATTCCTGCATACAAACGGAGATCGGTTATATAGTAAATTGAGTAAAATCAACCCATTGTCTTTGATTATCCATGCATTTAAATTTTAAACACACAAAATCACCGGTATAAACCTCTTAAGTAATAGGAAAGAAGAAAGTTCTTAATCTGATGATAATGAGAAATTCAAACGAATGTGAAAACAAAGTGTTGCATTACATATGTGGAATCAAACCCAAAACACTGAAATAAGAAAATTGAGAACAAAACTAATGGTTTATTAAAATGCTAAACTGATGACAGAGCACCACTTTATCAAGCGCCAACAGACAAATACCAAAAAGAACAGAAAAGAACAATTCGGAACAAAAACACACAATTAGATTAAAATGATAGACCAGTGGCATGATGGCCAACATCAGTTAACACGAAAAGGGGAAAAAGGGGTCAACGAATAACCTCTTTTGGCAAGCTCAGAAGATGAGAACCCAGTAGAAGTCACCAAAAGAGAGAGAAACTGTCCCAACCCAAGTCCCACCAACGTATTTTTCGTCCAGAAATCCTTCCAACTCACCATCCTATTCAGAGTGCAATATATATACGGATTTGTGGGAATTAAAATTTCTTGATTCGAATAAACAATCGCCAAAAATTTTTAGTTGAAACCTCCAAAAGGTAACAGAAACAGAGTAGAGCAACACTGATGATGTAAGAAGAGCCGAGTATTGAAAAATGTGTCCAATTATATGGATTTGGGGGAAAACAATCGCCAAAGTTGAAACCTCCAAAGGGTAGCAGAAGCAGAGTCAATCAACACTGTTACACTGATGATTAAACAAGAGCAGTGCTGAAAAATGTATCCAATTATATGATTAGAGAGAGAAAGTGAGGGACGAAGCGAGGATATGAAGAGAACCCCAAGAGACCCACTTCCAAATGCGACATTTACACGCCGGCGAAAAAATTGATATTTGATAGCTGTTGATGGAGACGCCGACGGCCGTGACAAATTCCCAGATGCCTTATACTTATGAGTAGAAGAATAACAAAAGTTCCGTTCTTTTACTCCTTTCTTATCTTTTCAATCACAATCAGCTAAACAAAAATATATTTTATGCTGTCTTTTAATCATTTAACTTTACCATAAGTAGACTTTCCAGATAATTTTATATTTTTCGAATCAAGAAAAGAGAATGACGATAGGAAATTGAAAAATGGACATAGGTAGTGGAAGTGGAGAGTTATTGGAAAAATCCATTGATGAAAAAATTTTGGTTAGTGAAATAAAGTTAGTTCATTAATATAATTTTTTTAATATGAAATGGTTTGATTAAAAACCAATAATTAATTATAATATTAGTAAAGAGTTAATAAATTTTTTAATACATAAGAAGAAATTATGATTATTTATTATGTGTTTGAGAAAAATAGTAATTGATAGTTATAAGTCTATGGATGAATAGTAAATTTGATAAATTATTGTATAGTAATCAGTGTTTTAAATACCTAAATATTGTACCATGAGCCACCGATACGCGGTTCAACCGGTTTTAACGTCTATTTTGTCGATTTTAAAAATATTAAATTAATTTGTTGCTATAATATAAATAATGTATAAAAACAACTTTAATAATTACTAAAATGAATTAAAATATAATAATAATTTAAACATGTTAAAATTAATAGTAAAACTTTTAAATATATAAATAAATTAATAAAAATATATTAAAAAATATTTCATAAAGAAAATATGGTATAAACCAGTATTTTTCGACATGAAATCGGTATAAAATCGGGATCGATACGGTACGGTATTTAAAACATTAGTGGTAATAATATTTTTTCTCAAAACGATAGATTCATTAATGCAAACACGTAGGCTATGTTTGGTAAAACTAGCTGATAAACTAGTGGATAAGGTAACTTATAGATTACTAGTAAAGTGCACGTGCGATGCACGTGATACATAATTTATATTTTAATGTGATTTTAAATTATATTTTCTCTTTTATATTTTTATGGTCTATTCAATTTTTTTAAGCACNTAATGAAACTTGAAATAGATGAGTTTTTGGAATATTAAGTGACTGATATTATTTATCAAGAATACTAATTAATACATATTGTAACCCATATTTTTAATATTAAGTTTCTTTGGTGACCTTAAATAGTTTAAGAATTTCAAAATGTTTTAGAAATAACTATGACTTTTAAGATACACTATAAGTAAAATAGAATAATTATAAATGATATCAAGAAACAATTCTAGCTAAATGAAAGTTCATACCCCCACGAGGGCCGTGTATGATTCTTAAGTTTATTTGACATAAAATAACGATTAGATTTTGTACAATCATTAAATGATGTTACAGAAATTTTGTGTGAATATTCTCTCTTTTATGTATATTAGTTGTAGCTTCAACATATAAAATAAATGAAATGATTAACAAAAAATTATACAACACATATAAGATGAGTTTGAAACAATAATGTAATTGAATATAATTATTTCAGTAGTCAATATATGATAGTACAAGGATTATTAAAGTGTATTTTAAATAAACTATTGATATCACATATTCTTACAAATTTAAAAATGATAATATAATTAATAATATATCAAAACTCATTAACGAGAATCGTGAAATTTGAAACTTAAAATAGTTATATAAAAATTAATAAATATAAATATTATAAATCACTAAACATGTAAAAATTAATAGTTATTAAGTACCATTTTATATTTTATTTATATAATATTTTCGTACATCAGAAATCTTAATAGTGATTAGCAGAAAAAAATCAAAAGAATTAGTTTATGATATTGACAACTAAAAAATAATTTGTGTATTTGAAATAATATTTTGTAGAATATAATCTATATATGTATTATTAATTTTGTTTTAAAGAAGTGAAATTATATCAATATATTTTATATCACTCATCATTATAGAAACATATCTCAAATGTGATATTTTGTAGCTAATGAAAAAGATCCTTATTCAAAGTTAACATATTTTATAATTTATTTGATAATTGCGTTCAGTTACTTTTAGTTAACTGAATTTTATTTGTTATAATACATAGTTTTAATTTTACAATTAATTGTACTTTTATCTCTTTCACTAATCATTACAATTAGAATTTTACTATTATAAATATATCAAATATAAAAGATATCTTACGCAATCAACATTCATCAATTTGGCAATAAGTCTTCGCATTTAATTTTTCAACATGTTATTTATTGTTCTATTATAGGGTAGTTTTTATCATTATATTTCAATTTATAAAATTTTGGTNNNTTCATAAATAATCAAAATAAAAACAAGAGTACACGGGGGATCCCCGAAGCCTGGGTAACTGAGAGGAGAGCTATCAAAGCTTCCTAATCGAGCAAACAAACACAAACCTACCACCTACATCAACATTGGACACAAGAATATAACTAAACAATATCAGCTTGCCCCCAAACCTATAACCAGAAGCACAATGACTAATAAACTAGACATGAAACAATACAATACATTACAGACAAAGTCAGACCAATAGGCCACTGACACTCGACCTAACCTATTCATCAGACTCTCTGTTACTCCTTGAGGTTGCTAGCTTTGAAGTCCATCCAATCCCTGGTTGCAGTCTGGACTATCCACATCTCTTTGTGCCACTACTTCTCAAACACCCATAAGTTTCGAGCTCGCCACAACCACCACAAAATGTAAGTGGATAGTTGGATCCTTTCTTCAGAAATGTCTTTGATGTTCATTGTAGAGATCCACCACCACCATTCTTTAAAGCTCATGCTATCCATCTGATTTCTGTCCCATTTCACTGGTGCAAGTTGCCATGTGATCTTTGCCCTCCTGCACATAAAAAGAGTGTGTTCCATGGTCTCCTCATCCTCCCCACAAACTCTGCAGACAGTATCAACCTCCATACCTCTTCTGGCCAGATTGCAGTTCACTGGTAAGATATTGGTAAAACATTTCCAAATGAAATGTTTAACCTTTCCCATAACTCCCAAGTTCCAGCACCTTCTCCTAGCTCTTACATTCCCCTCAGCCATTCTGCTGCATTCTCCCACAACCCTCTCAGCTACTTTGGTTGCTAACAGCCAAGTATAGGCCTTCTTAACTGAAAATTTCTCCTTACTTTGGAATTCACACTTCCACTGAGAATTATCGAATAGAAATGTCCTCCCCGAATTATCGAAAATTTCTCCTTACTTTGGAATTTTCGATAAAAATAATATTGAATAGTTGTTAAACTTTACTTCAATGAAAGTCACCTTTTAACTAAACTATGTAATTCATAATTTATAGATTCATAGTATAATAATATAAAATTTAATATTAGTTAACCTTATTATTTTTTCTAATCAATTTATTATATCGTGTTCAAATATTTTATATCTAGAAATTAAATCTAAATATGAATAAAAATAAAATAATAATATGCTTCTTATATTTTAATATTTGCTATCATGTCCATAAAATCATGTGAAAAATTTTGTTTTCTTTCATGTTATATCATGTATTTTTTTTTTATTATTGTTTTACCATACGTCCTACTTGATACTCAACTTTTTCGAAAAAGGCATTTTGAGTAGTTTTATATGTCTTGTTATTTGTTTAATGTAAATTTTATATAATTATGTTATATGAACTTTATATACTATGACATGTAGTTATGTTATTAGTAATATGAAAATAATATATAGTTTTGAATTATAATAAATTTATACTATAATAGTTTATACTTAATATTGTATGTTGTGAAATTAAGGATAGTATTTGCCCAATTTTTCTTTTTATTTGTTCCACATACTATTTAGGAATTTATTTTAATACAATTCAGTATTATTGAAATAGTTTGCATCTCCTTTGTTAACTTTTTTTCTTTATTGATAATTATTTAGAAAGAGTTTTGCTTTTAGATAATTTTATTTTATTGGTATACTCAATTTTATTATAATTATTATGCTGTTATTGCAATTTTATCATTACTAATACAGTAAACATTAGGAATCTTGAATCATGTGTAAATTTTTATAAATAACTCATCGTTTTATAACTGCCAAATTAGTTCGGATGATCTTTGAAATTAATGGTTCGCCCTATTTGATTTTGATAACTTTGAAATTAATGGTTCTAGAAAATCAAAAGAATTAGTTTATGATATTGACAACTAAAAACTAATTTGTGTATTTGAAATAATATTTTGTACAATGTAATCTATATATGTATTATTAATTTTATATTAAAGAAGTGAAACTATATCAATATATTTTATATAACTCATCATTATAGAAACATGTATCAAATGTGATATTTTGTATTTAATGAAAATTTCTCCTTATTCAACGTTAACATATTTTATAATTTATTTGACAATTGCGTTTAATTACTTTTAGTTAGCTGAATTTTATTTGTTATTATACATACTATTAATTTTACAATTAATTGTATTTTTATCTCTTTCACTAATCATTACAATTAGAATTTTACTATTATAAATATATCAAATATAAAAGATATCTTACGCAATCAACATTCATCAATTTGGCAATGAGTCTTCGTATTTAATTTTTTAACATGTTATTCATTGTTCTATTATAGGGTAGTTTTTATCATTATATTTCAGTTTATAAGATTTTGTTAGTTTTCAAAATTGATTTTTTCGAGAAAAATAATATGGAATATAGTTGTTAAACTTTACTTCAATGAAAGTCACCTTTTAACTAAACTATGTAATTCATAATCTTTAGATTCATAGTATAATAATATAAAATTTGATATTAGTTAACCTTATTATTTTTTTCTAATCAATTTTTTATATCGTGTTCAAATATTTTAATTCTAGAAATTAAATCTAAATATGAATAAAAATAAAATAATAATATGCTTTTTATATTTTAATATTTGCTATCATGTCCATAAAATCATGTGCAAAATATATTATTTGTTTTCTTTCATGTTATATCATGTTTTTTTTATTATTGTTTTACCATACGTCCTACTTGATACTCAATTTTTTCGAAAAAGGCATTTTAAGTAGTTTTATATGTCTTGTTATTTGTTTAATGTAAATTTTATATAATTATGTTATATGAACTTTATTTACTATGACATGTAGTTATGTTATTAGTAATAGGAAAATAATATATATTTTTGAATTATAATAAATTTATAGTATAATAGTCTATACTTAATATTGTATGTTGTGAAATTAAGAATAGTATTTGCCCAATTTTTTTTTATTTGTTCTACATACTATTTAGGAATATATTTTAATGCAATTCAGTATTATTGAAATAGTTTGCATCTCCTTTATTAACTTTTTTGCTTTATTGATAATTTTTTAGAAAGAGTTTTGCTTTTAGATAATTTTATTTTATTGGTATACTCAATGTTATTATAATTAGTATGCTGTTATTGCAATTTTATCATTACCAATACAGTAAACATTAGGAATCTTGAATTATGTGTAAATTTTTATAAATAACTCATCGTTTTATAACAGTAGTTTAACTACCAAATTAGTTCGGATGATCTTTGAAATTAATGGTTCACCCTATTTGATTTTGATAACTTTGAAATTAATGGTTCGTGCAAACCACAAATCACATGACCCTAGAATTAGATTTACAAATGAGTATATAATGCATTAACCGAGGACATGCTTAATTTACAGGTATGCCATTACCTTGGGTATTATTAGATTACAAAATTGCCATTACAAAGATGGCAAAGTAAGGTTATTTTAGGCATATTATATTTTTACAGATTCATTGGTACTTTTATAATAGTATAGATAAGTGATTTTCGAACTTATATCTTATAGTTTATGAATTATAGCTGAAAATCTACCATATATGATAAAAGTGTTTGGTAAAATTAACTGATAGCTTGCTGAAATAAACATTTCAACGAGCTTATTTAAAAAACTACCCAAAGAAGCTAATTGATAAGCTTGAGCTTTTTAAAAAAGTCAGTTCTACCAAACAAAGTTTATTTGAATACAAGAAATTTATAAGCTAACCAAATAAGTTATAAGCTAGTTTATTTGGTTACCAAACATAGCCGTAATTACAACTGGTTAAATAGTGGGAAAAGGGAGGTCTATCCAGGGTAGCCTAAATGCCACAAACTAACATAAAAAGAAACTAAAATAACTCGCACTTATGGAGAATACAAACTCCCAAAAGGGAGACTTCACAGTTGCAAAACTAGAGAAGAACAAAACACAAACACACAATACTTACACCATAACCCAAGAACTATACTACAAACCAACATAAAAGATACTAAATTAAAGCACTCCTCCATCAACAACAAACAAACCCGCACAACCACAAAACGGACCTTGAGAGCAACTTCCCAAAGCGGACAGGGACCCAAACCAAAGTTCCGAACCAGAAACTGCAGTAAATCTACGCCTAATTAGAGTTGTGGCAACGGCCTAAACCCATCTTCCAAGAAGACTACCCCCGGACCAAAGCCAGAGACCAGCTCGTAATCCCCACCCCGCACTACCGAAAACCTAAGGCCAACGAGCCACTGACCCACACACACTGGCTAGCCCGACCACCCAACTCCAGGACGACATGAAAATAGGAGAGAAGAGAGCCAAAAAGGCCTCGAGCCTCCAACCCCAACAACCACCGGCGGCCCGAACCAACAATCATCGGCGCCCCACCAGCGAAAACTTTGCCCGAACACCAGGAAAATCGACAAGCATGGGGAAGGATGAGTTTACCTCCACTTCGAAAATCGCAACGACTGATTGGATCAAACTGCCCACCACACCACCCGACTCCTGGCCCACCTCAAGGCTAGAAGGCAACCTGTGTGACGGTGAAATCCTCCAATTGGGAGAGGCACGACTCGACGGAGGGCCAGAAGCAAAGCCTTGGTGAAGCCCGCACCGTGGCGGCAGCGGCGCGCGCCCCGACTGCAGGAGGCTGACAACAAAACCTAGGTTTATTGTTTTGAAAATTGGGAGAAACGGGGAGGAGAGAAAAGTATGTTGGGAGCCACTTCAATATTCCATCTCCGTCGCCGCCATCGTCCCCAAAATTAAGGCTCCTTCAAGCTCGGCCCTCGACCTCCGTTTTCGTGAAGCGTGAAGCATGCTCCTCCATCGCCGGCCATCATCTCCGAGAAGCATGTCCCTCCGTCGCCAGTCATTGAGATACAATGGCGGGCTCAAACAAAAAAACCCATCCAACAAACGTCCTCTACGTCCAAGCCAATTTTTTGTCTTGGAGTGAATGTGAGGATACCTCCCAGTNNNCAACGTCCCATAGTGACTTTTCATTACAATTTTATTTTTATTTTTATTTTTTTTAAGAAAGTTGAAACACTTGGCCAAGGGCCCAATATTTCTGAAGACCGATCCTAGAGTCACTAACACCTAGTTTTCATCTAACTGAAAAATAGAATAAGCCAAGACCGAAGCTTCTTTGCATGACGCCACCAATTCTTTCACCATTAGATCGACATTCTACGATAATCTACGATATATTATCGGTTAGTGTCATAAAACGGTAGATTTCATAACCACAGTCATTGCTAATCAGTGTGTTGTTAATAAGAACACGTTAAGCTAGTGAAGATAGAGAAACCTTTCAAAATATGTCCAACTAAACAAAACAACTTCATCTGAAAAAGAATATATATAGAGAGAGATGTATTATAAACTCGTGATGACCTAAAAGTCATCAATATACAATATCAAGTAACACTATTTCGGGTTTGAAGACAAAAGATACGCAGCAGAGCTATCCTTCTATAACCCTTCCAAAGGGTCGAATTCTCCAAAACATTGTACTTTCTCAAACTCTTGAAATCTACGTGTCAAACAGAAAGATGACACCCTGGTAACCGTATTTCTTTCAAGCAATAAATCTGAAGAGCATTTATTTTTCCTAGTAACCTTTTGAGCTTATCTTGTGTCCTATACCTTCTAGCCAGGCTGGCCAAAACAACCAAAAGATACACCCTGTAATGAATATTCAAGGTGTAATGAATTCACCAACTGTACTGGATAAGCACAATTAACCATCACAAATTCATACGATAGTGCTACAGAAAAGTTCACAGAAATGAGCACAGAAGAGATGTGAATACAAGATGGTACTGTTGAAAATTAAGTTAAAAGTTAACCCACAGACGATTCAATTGCAACTTCCCTACCAATTTTTGCATGTGATTTAACCATCAAATGCTGTTCACCATCTCAATCACTATTTCACTTTTAACTACACATTGCTACACATTTATGCTCAATTGTTACTAATTCATTCTTTTCTTTTCTTTTTCTTTTCAATCTCTTTTGAATAAACCCGCACGCACACTAAATATAATAAGTATGTAAATTTGCAATGGTAAAAATCAATTGACCTAAATAGGTTGTGGGCTAGGATAATTAAAAAAAAAATAAAAAAAAAATTAAAATTCAAGGCACATCCAATTCTGAACGAGCAGCATGACCTAACCTACATTTAATAACTATTAACACCGAAAAAGTTCAACAACATACCAATAACTTTAAGTGGGAAGAAGGGGCTGTCTTTCATCAGGTCCTACGCGGTGACTAGCCTGTACAAAGAATATAAAAAATGAATTAGCTGTGTGTTCCAGAAGGAAGATCATCCTTAAGACTGATAAGAGATTGTACCTCCTCATTGGCTCCAGCAGCTATGTTTATGAAGGATGAATCCTTTGACCTAAAAAAATTGGTAAGGGGAGATGCAATATAACATTAACTTCTAACCTCAGAAAAAAATATATGTAAAAGAATGTAGAGGAAAATCAGTTCCATAAATCCAAAATTACAATTCAAACAAAGTTCAGTAGAAAATAACCCAAAATAGACAGGCAAAATCCAGTAAGAAGTCTTAAGTCTTAAGCTACAAAACACATTAATGTTAGCACCTTCAATGCCAACATGTGCCAAGTAAACAGCTAAAAATAGACACACATTACAAGTTTTTGTCTTAAAGAAATGAAAAGGAAAGACAGAAAGGTAAGAGCAATTACAACTAAGTCAAGTAAAATAGCAAGTACCTATGATTATCCTGTACATCCACCGTCTCTACCACCCCATTTTGCAGATCTTCCTTGGCTTTTGAAAGAGGTGAGAAGAACTGCAAACAGATAAAGCTAGAGATAAGCTTCAAGACATATGCCTGAGATAAGTAGTTCCATTACTTAGAAGTACCTGGTGCATTGAAATGAAAACCACCGAGATCCCTAACATAAAGTTTATTGTCAAAGTATGGCCGAATAAAGCTGCAGATGCTATGCCGGTAAATATTGTAGCAACTGTAGAGGAATATTTCTTCAAAATCGTATCTGAAAAAACAAGACAAGACTTATGATTAGCATTTAAGAGAGCATTCAAGTGGTAACATGTTGTAAAGTCAGAGAAGTATGAGTCCCAGAATAGTAATTAAATTTTGCAGTTACTGAAGTCATCCACTCACCAGCATATTTGAAGAAAAATGAGGATAGAATTCCCTGGGCAGCATTGTTACATATCAAAAGCATAGTAGCTTTTGAATGGCCTTCCAATATATCAAAGCTGCTTGGACCTGAAACAACATTCCATTGTTCGGTTTATAAATTAAGAGCAAAAATTAAAATTTGATTCTAATCCCAAAACAGCATATGATGAAAAAATTGAAGCCTTACTATATTGCTGGAACTGATAAAAAAGGGAGAAGCAAAAACTCGGGCAGAAATACCTTTAAAAATGGCTGTTCCGAGAATTCCAAGAAAGTTGAATATAGCTCCATACCCGTATAAAAATAAGTTCTGTGAATCAAACAGAATCATAGACAAAAAGACACTCAATTAAGACCTCTCAGAGACAGGATCATATTTTTATTTTCTTAATACATAATAATACGTGCATAAAAATGATTGAGAAAATACATATATACCAAGTTTACCAACCAGGCAAGTGAAAAGTAGCATGATAAGTTACAAATCATTCTCAGTTACATCAACCATTCAGAAAAATTAAATTTATGCATTTTGTCAACAGTATCAGGAAGATCTACACTTAGGCAAGACCACTCTTAAAATCAGAGCGGCATAATTGAAGTCGTAAACAGTGAAGATTTTTTCTCTGCTTTACATTCTATAGGCGTCTTTGCATACAGATCGTTATTAACTCATTTGCCAAATTATATTCGCCACATTCCATTGGCAACTTTTTGGATAAAGATATTCAATGACAAATTATTTTCACCTTGTATAGGGAGTTGTTGGAGTGGGGCCACATACATGAGAAAAGGGCCAAAAAAAAATTTCGCAAGAATCAAAGAAACAGATTCTATATGAAAAAGTATAAAAGCTAGAAACCTTTGATGTTCTCAAATCACCTGAAGATAAATGCTGGTGTCGTACTGGCTTTTCAAAGCATATTCGTTGAAGACCGAGGCCAGTGAAGGAACAGTCACCTGAATTAAATTTTACAATAATTGAATGCAGAGAACGATTTGCCGCAAAAGAAAACCAAGTTTGTTCAAACATATCCAAGCAAATCATGAATGTAATCATCAGTAAATGCTTAAATGACTTACAAATATCAGCGTGTACACATATGCGCCGGTTGTAACCGCAAGACCCAAAGCAGTTGTACCATCAGGATAGGATTTAAGTTGATTAATGCTAATCCCAATCAGCAATAAAGCAAGAGCCTCCCACTGCCACATAACAATGCATCACTACAAAATACTTGACAAGTATCTGTAAATGTTTGGTTGCTAGATTCTGCAAGCTCATTAAACAGAAAAGACTTCAATCGCATTATAGTAACTGGAACTAACCTGAATTATTGAAAAGCGACGTCTCATTATGATCCTTAGAAGTACAGCAATCACCAAGACCTGTAAAAGAATAATAGAGAAACAGATAATGCGTTACAATTATGAGGCCACAGCAAAGACAATCTTATTTCCTATTCAAAGACAGTAATAAACCATCCTAGTGCTTGCATCATTGAAAAAGATCTTTGATTGACTAATGGACACCTAATCTGTGGGAAATAATCAGCTGGGTTTGAAGTTTCAGAAATGCTCTCTCCCCTAGCTAGTTCCAGAACATGTAAAAATTAAATCAAGTTACAATTTCTTTTATTGATAAGATCTAATTTTCTCATGACTCGAGATTCTATGGCTAAAAAGAACAAGTAACCGAGTATACAAATGAAGTTACAAATCAGAAGAAACTTTTAAGATAAATTAATCATGAATGCTCCAAACTGTGTTGATGATAAGAGAAGATTGCAATATTATAACAGCTAATAAATGTGAAGACATTAATAGAAACATGGTAAAATACCAACATACCTTTAGATTGCTCAGCATTTTCACTGTTGCAGGGTTGAAATATAGCTGGGAATAACAGATAGTTATTAATTATTTATAAGGGTGAAATAACACTCCATTCAGATTCACAAACAAAGCTGTGTAAGAGCCGTAACATTTCTAGCTCACTTTTTTCATTTTTTTTATTTTCTGCAGATAAAAGATCCCCTAGTGTGTATTCAGCATTATAAACAGTTTCAGGTAAACAAGGAATTGATTGGAATGAAGTTAATATTCCCATAATGACAGTAAACATTACTACTGTTCATATCAATAGAATTATTTACATAAGTGAGAAGTTAAAACCATGACATCTTTGTCGGTAATCATAAGATCAGACTATTATGCTCCACCTGATTCATAGAGATGAAAGTGATAGAATTACGAGATACATGACCCGGATGAATAATATGAGTTCATAGCTGATAGCTACAGGCACAACTGATTGGAAAAAAAGAGAGAGAGAGAGAGAGAGAGAGAGAGGTTGGTTATGGCAGGAAACAGCAACTTTTGTTTTGATTTCTACATATTTCACCTTTTTTTGAGAAAAATATCCAATTCCCTTTTGAGAAACTGTTATTCTATGATCTATGAGGTTGAGAATTTATTGCAATAAATTCTGCTGCAATGCGGGTTGTGAAAATAAAGTGTGGAATGCCCACTCCACTCCCTCTTCACTTTGAACGATTTTACTGGATAAAATTGTACGATCGACTATTATAGTTTACTTCATCTTAGTATTTCTACAACAAAATTGCAGAATCGGCCAATTAAAGTTTTCAGATAATTGAATTTATTTATTCTTGTAGTATCAATTTTCCAGGATCATCACATCAATTGATCGACTAAGAAATTTTCAAAGAAAATAAGATAAATGAAGCAAGGACAATTCATAGGCTAACATACAGAAGATAGCAACAACAATTTGAATAAAATATAAAATGTAGCAAGGGGCAAGGGTACTAGCACGTACACTACCGTGTAGGAAGAAGAAAACTTTACCTGCATTACGAACTTGAGGTAGTTGTTTATAGCATAAAGAAGGGCTGGAACAGCCAATAGCACATTGTTGCGAGCAGCCTGCAAAGGTAAAATGTCAATCAATGACCAGAAGCAATTGCATTGCAGAATAAAGAACACCAACGGGTAAAATAGTTATAAGACAAAATAATTAAAGAAAAGGGAAAACCAGAAACATAAAAATAAAGATGAAGTCAATGCCGCATCTGCAGAAGAAACATCGAATTAATTTTAAGACATCAAAATCATAAATCTCTTCTCCTGAAATAAAGGTGACAGTACAACAAAGTGTCCTGAAGGCATGAAAAAGAAAAAGAATTCCAAATGTTTGATCAGCAAATACATGCACCTGAGTAAACGTTGAAATTGAGAGAAGCGGCTTTTCACCAACCTTCTGTCGTCTGGCCTGCAGGAAAAGAGTCAACTGTGATATTCCAAGGTACATATATGTGATATGGATTATGGATGTAAACAAGAGTACACACAGTAAGTTCTTATGCCGGCAAACGCATATAGAACTGCCAATAGGCTTTGAAAAAAATTCCACTTTCTCATATTTGTTAGTGACATGCATATGCCGTAGTGCCACCACAAAGAGAAAAATAAAGCTCCAAGATTTCTTAATCTTGGGATTGTTCTCGAAACTCTAGAAAAGAAAAAAAAAACTAATAAAGCAACGGAGTCCAAAGTGGTACTCAAAATCCTAACAAAAATAAAAGAATGCAAGTGTAGAATACGTGACCCATTTCGTGAAAAATATCCTCTCAAGTGAGTTTTACTGGTGCATTTAGAGATAATAATATTGAAGTTACAATGGCAAACAATTCTCAAGTAGCATGTAGGACCAAGCTAGTAGTCAAAGCACTTGTCTGGTCACAGATAACTGCATGGAGAATGTAAATACATGGTAAAAGAACAAAGAGACTACATGTATTTTGTCCCAATTGCAATTCCAAAATAGAATCAGTAAGACTGTAAATTAGGGATCTCGTCCTACGAATTTCACAACCTCAAGAAGTTTTACAGAAGAAAATATTCCATGATCAAATGAACTAAAGTTGATAGTATTCAGTCTGTGGCACAAGAAAAAGTGATAGGCCCATTTGTGTGGTTTGACTTCCTCACGTTATTTAAGCAATCTCAGAAATAAAAGAGAACCTCTGCGTTACTTATATTTTTTGTCTATATTACTTGTGAAGATCTAGAAACAGACAGACTTCCATATTCTACTAACAGGAAATGGAAATTATACCTGAAATATAAGCATCACAATTGCAAAAATTACTTTTGCAACCTCTGTTAGGAAGTTGACGCTGATGGGGCTAAAGTTGAAGCGGCCATCCACTTTTGACATAAAAACCAAGATAGGCTGCAGAAACGATAATGAGAACCAAGGTACATGAGATGCAGTAAGAGTGAATGTGATCATTAAGCAAAAGTAAAATACAAAGGTGAATCTTGCTTTTATGAATACATTTGAAAGTACACAAAGAAGTAAATACATGTGCATGGATGAAGGCTCATATTTCAAGTTTCGCAACAAATTAGGCAGGACATTCTTAGTTTTATTTTACTATCAGAAAATGTAAATGTCTGAGCAACCACTCAGTGATACAGTCTAGAATTCAGACCATGCATGATTGTGCCTGAAGAATAGTACAGCTCTCTAACGTCACATCTCAATTCTTTATCACGTAACACATTTTAATAATCACCCTTTAATAATGAATTTCACCTGTTTCCATTTTAACGTCACATCTCATTGAACTTGAATAGCACTCAAGTGATCTTCCACTCCTTCCATAATTACAAAAGATCAATCATAAAGAACTTAAACATCGTCCTACATCAAAATCCATTACAGTATTTTTCCCTATAACTGTTATCACCATACCACAGATCCAACAGAACTAAAACCAAAAAATGAAGCAAAGAAGAGACCAGTAAAGGTCACACTGTTAGTCTTAGAGAAGAAGCAGAATAATTCTTCTATCTCATTTTTCCAGAAATACATTATGGAACAAATTAGCTTTGATGTCTTATGGAAGGTCCTGGTGCCCACTGCCTAGGTATGTTCAAAAAAATTTCTTGGTGGTTATTGGATAAATTTCCCATAGTGATATGGAGCAAATAAAGAATCAGCATATTCCTCATCCATTTGGAGAATGGTTTCTTTGCAACGTGGCTTGGAGCTACACAAACTACCCAATCCTCTGTCTTAGATGAAATATTACAGAGGCTACGAACAACTACGTAATGGAGGCAACTGATCCAATGTTCTCATCATATCAATCAAACTGCTGCTAATAGCAGAAGGCAATGATGTTTAAGAGAGCATACAAGATAAATAACAAAGGAGCCATGAGAAAGCAAATCCAAACTCAAACTAAAAGAAGTCTATGGAATCATACAGATGTTTGAACCTATTTTAATGCATGGAACTTCTCAAATTTGTTTACATTAAAATATGGCTCCTCTATAGATGATTGCATTGACAATATTAATCTCAACTAAAGACACTTATCTGAGATCAAGCTGATGGAATTGGTCCCAATTATTAGAATAATAACTAATCAACACAACCCTTTTCTTGAGTTCTAAGTCCTAATCCTAGAAATAGAAAATATCCAAGTCTCACTATCTTATTACGGCATCATATTTTACCTCAACCATAGCAACAGTGAGGTGTTTTCACCTGTCCACTTTATTTCCCCATCACTTCTATGGTCTAAAACTGTTCACCCTTCTTCTTTCAGTAACAAGAGTCTTTTTATTTCTTACATCATCAACTATTACATACCTCGATCACTACTCAATAACACAAGTAATATAGAATGCTCGGAGAACATTTTTCAGGGTAATACAAAGTTGGGATAGCACCAAAAAAGTGTATGTATACCTGTAAACCAACTAGGACACAATCTCCACCAACTAGAAGGAAGTTAAGCGCCCGTTGCTTTGAAGATACCTTGATCCTATGCCGATCATATGCTCGTGAAATAGTCTTTGTGGATGGAGAAACCAATTTGGAATGACAGACACTACACTCTATCATCCCGTTCTTCATCAGCCCACCCTCGTGGAAGGCTACAAAACTTACATCCAGAAGAATATAAGCAAGAATTCATCATACATACATGATACATACACAAAACTAATTAAGAAATCAAAATTTTAAATGAAAATATCCATCATCTGGTCCACAAATCACCTCTAACCCAACACTCACAACAATTAAATCAAAACCCCCCACCAACTCACAGGGCAGTGATGCATGCAGCTTAACCAGATCTCATCAGACTGAGAGAAAGAACCAATCCTTACAATTTTTATTTTTTTTTCCTTTTTTCAGTCGATCAAATCGGAGCAACGCTCAATTTCAGTCCAATTTTCGCCGGATCAAGATCAAACAGCCAACCCCATTGGTATAACTATTACACGCTTGATCCATCCAAATTAGGGATCACATAACGGATCGAATATCAGATTTATCATAAACAGAACGCGAAAAGGCACGTACATACCTGTGGTGGAAATTCGCTGTTGATTTATATTTGGTGAAAGAGTGTGAATGACCACGGCTGCTAGATCTGAGCAAGCCTCCCAAATTGTGCGTCTGAGAACAGCCTTGAGTTTGTTATATGTGAGTATAAAGTACCCAGCAGAAACGCAGTTGATGCAAAGGTTTAGGAAGAACAGCAGCTGGGCTGTGGATCTGATTGTTGTTTGGTATAAAAATAGTAGTAACTCAGAAACTTAATTAGGAAACGTAAACCACGTTCATAAATCTGATCTCCACATGAAAATTGGAATTCAAGGAAGCAGTGGTTGGGCAACTATCGTATTTTGAAAATTGAGGTTGGCTAAGGTTTTTTCTCAAATAAACTACCTGTTGGTACATCCGTGTAATAATAAGCCTGCTAACTTAAACGGGACAAATAATTATAAATTGCATGTATTAAATAATGAATGAATGTTGATAAGTATATAAAAATAGTTTGAAATGTTAATATTATTTTTTTTATTATTTTATGATATCTAAAACAAAATATTATGTCAAAATTATTTTATGAATTCTTTATTGGCGTAGTATGTATCAAAGGTACAAACACACGGGAAAAAGCGTATTTTCAATTAAAATTATATCATGACTTATCTATATACACGCACATTTATATGCACTTATATCAGTAGATGAAACAAATGAAATGGAATTAAAAACGGATATTTTGCAGAGGATATTTTGAGTTCGAGCCTTGGGAATACAGCTGTGTTAAAACTCTTGAGGTAGAGCTTTGCCGCCCTTGTGATCCTACCCGGCTCGATTCCGAATTAGTCGGTCCCCTAAGGGATTCGGAAACCGAAAGGTTCATTGTACCAAAAAAAAAAAACGGATATTTTAATTTAATTTGGACCAAACACAACTGCGCACACAAAATTTTGGGGAATACAAATTTCAAAGGATCTTTATTTGCATGAAGAAACAAATTACAAATCTAACAACAATGTACACAAGACCTCGTCTCAAATTAACGTTATACAACTTAAAGTAACGATCAAATCTAGTTCATCCCTCCAAGCTTGATAAGCACCTTCAAGTGTGGGCTAATGCTCTCTTTTGGCATTGCGCCGGACAATTTTTCAGTAAATTGTAAGCCCTACATCTACCAATATATGTGTTTTATTTTTTTTTATTTTTTATTTTTTATTTTTTTATTTTTTTTTTTGGGGGTCTAGAAAGTTGTAGTCTTCTTGCATCCACACGTGCAACCATCCAGCTCATCGTTGAGTTGCTATTAGACATGAGAATACAGAAACAAAACCGAATATTTATAACTTTTCAAAGGTTCAATTAAAAAAAAATCGAAATTCTTTTGTTTTTATTATAGCCAAAACCAAAATCAAAGAACGCCAACGATACTAACCTGAACCTGATTTTGAAGGCTTTTTATGTGTTGGACTGCCAAATCCAGCATGTCGGCATAGCTAGTTTGCTGTCATGAAAATAAGAGCTCTGTTAAATTCACTCTCATTTCATACAGAGATGCACAAAGAAAAAATGCAATGGATAGGTAAAGAAAGGAGAGAGATAGTTTTACCTTATCCATATTGGGAACAAGATCCTGCAGCTTCTTCAACTTTCCACTAATTCGTGTTCTTCTCTCCTGCATCATCATCAGATGTCTCATCATATTGTTCTCATCCTCTTTTTCTTTTCACATCAAATATGTATGTGTGACTTAGATTTAATAAATTTCAGGCAGATATAAAGTCGTCAGTACCTAAAATTAACTTCTATAACAAAAGGAACAACTAAATAATAAATATGAAAAAGTATGTGTTTTTTTGCTTTAAGATTACTTGCATGAAGCTAGCTAGTAATTT